GAGTATAATTGCAAAGTTACACAAATAAAGAAAGAAAGAAAAAATAGTAAAAGTAATAATAATAGAAGCATTAGGGAACAAAGTACATAATTCCACTATGACGTAATTCAATTTCAAGCTCTGAACACACCTACATGTTTGTATCTTACGTCATGTTTATGGCCTGTTATGCTCACTGCTTTTCTGAAGTATGGAAACCGAAAGCTGCTGAATAATCCCTGAGAAGGAAACTCAGCGTGGGGCTGAGTTTCAAAACAATCATGAATATTTAGAACTGATTGTGTTTTTGTGAAAGAGGCAACTTCATTTTTACAACAAAAAAAGTAATAAATATATTTTATTTGTTAACTTTAGAGCTGCTATAAATGCTGTGTAAAATGTGCACTTCACATTTTAAATACAACAATATTGTCAGACAGTAAAGAGCCTTTAAATCATAATATTAATTGAATTACAATAAATTTTTATTGGTGTGCATGTGTGTGCGCACTGATAATAATTTTGAACCAAGTGTCATAAAAACAACATTGTATGCATTTATCTGGCTATGAAAGTACACAAAATATATTAGCAAGATCACTGCTATTTATGTACATCAACTCACAGTGAAGATAATAGCAGTAGTATTAGTAACCGCTAAAATAAGTTTGTGATCAATATATTTGAATTAATCAAACACAACAATCAAAACCCTGACATCATTGTCAGGTGCTTCCACAAGCAGAAGAAAGACATAAGCAGATTTTTTTTTTTCTAAAAAGATTCATAACAGAGCAACAATTCATTAACCGTCAGTGGAAGTAGCAATAAAATCTCATTACTGATCCACATCACAGTTATTTTACAGAAACTGACCAATATTCCCCATCAGTTTTCCTGGAAGACATTTCAAACATATCCGACGCGCAGAAGTCCTTTAAAGGCACAAATTGGATTCAACCAAGGCCTACTGTAGCTGCTTTTGTGGTTTCATTTCCTGACCTAGGCTAGATAGGCATACCAGAATAAAGCAACCAGGTTTGCAAACAGCACTCGGAACTGTGCAAAGAGTTCAAGAAAAAGAAAATGAGATAATGGATCAGAGAAGCCTTATGCAATCTGGAAGAGAGGACTGGTGTAATGTTCTTACACCTACCTGTACAGGTACATAGTTGATATTGATAAACTGAATTGGGGTCCAAACTTTCCAGTTCATCTTCATCGCAGGCCAGTAACTTGTTTTAAGTTTGTTTTGAACATTTGCGAGAGTCTTGCCCTGCAAAGATGACATTTGCATTATTTTCAGGATTTCACAGAGATATTGTCAATGTGCAGCCTTAAACTAGCAGCAAAGACTGAAAACTGTAGATCAGCAAACAGGTGAAGTTCTTTGACCAGCAGCTGAAGTCTATATTCTGGTCAAAGTTGATTTTCTACATTTCCATATTTCCATTCCTCTCATTACAATAGTGCCACCTGCATCGGTGAGTGAAAATCGCATTCTTGCTTCATCCACACTCCACCCATCTTACTGTACTTACTACCAAATTCTCCATGCTTGACAGTAAATGGTAGAACAATGTGTCTATAACAACAAAGCTGCATAAAGAGGTATGCCCAGAATATGAGGCAAGTGCAAACAGATGACTAAATGAAGTAATATTGTTGTGCTGTTTTTAAGAAAGCCATCAGTAAAAACCATGATTAATCTCACAAAAAGTCGTCCAGCTATGAAACATTACCTCCAAAGCATTCATAACCACATAAAAGAGCAAGAGGAAAGCAGGAGCGAATATTAGACGTTCCAGCAGAAGGCGCTTGATCAGGCAGTATGGGACAGTGTTAGGCAACAGCACCTCCAGGAGATGGTAGAAGTAATGACTGACTGGACCTGTGATAAAAAGTCTGAAAAAGAACAATTAAAAAGCGACATTTGAAACATTTGTAACTCGTTTAACAGTCCTGGTATTAAATATTTTTTGTAAAATGACTTCATGTCTACTGTGACATGTATGTGTAGTCTTTGAAATATGTAAAACATAAATATTTTACATGATTATGGGGTGTATGTAATCAAAATGCACTGTCACTCTACCCAAATATTGCGAAGTGTACAGGTCCCAGAACATTGATTTTCTTTTTTGGGCTATTTTCTTTGTTGCTCTTCCTGTACTCCAAAGCTTGAGACAGTAGATTTCCCAAAGCAGAGAGAATACCACTGCAAGAAAGAACAAAACTGTCATTGTATCATTGAACCCACATGGCCTTGCATCTAAAGATGAAGCCACTCGTCTTTCTGTGTTTGGTCCAAAAGTGAGTGTTACTTTTAACTGGACTTGATTTCCCCACCCCCCAAACAACCAATAGAAAAACACAGTTCAAAGTCCAGCTAAAAAAAAAGTAATGGATAAAGGATATCTTTATATATGACTGCTACTACTACAAAGCATTTTATTAATAAGTTTAAGAAGGATTTTTTTGTGCTTATTGTTTAGTGATTTTAATTCGTTTATAAGTATTTTATATCAAATAAAAATATATTTAAATAAAATATAAATTTTCAATGGTATATTTTTCAACTTAAACTAATGTATAAAATTACACATTATTCTTAGTTATTAATTATATAAATATTATAGTGCTGTCGAACGATTAATCGCATCCAAAATAAAAAAAATGTGTTTACATAATATATGCGTGTACTGTGTATGTGTAATCTATTTATTATGTATAAAAAATACACACACATTTACATGTATATATATTTATATTAGTATATTTTATATTATATTGAACTATATTTAATATATGAACATAAAATTTTTTGTAAATATATACATGCATGTGTTTGTATTTATATATATACATAATAAATATACACAGTACACAAATTATGTAAACAAAAACTTTTATTTTGGATGCGATTAATCGCGATTAATCGTTTGACAGCACTAAAATATTATCATTATTAAATTATATACTCACTGATCGCATGTTTCCCTGATATATTAATAACGTATGAAATTATGAAACAAATAATAAATATATAATAACTGTATTAATATAAGATTGAGTGTTGTTAATTATCATTATCTTACATTAGTTGCATTTCACAATTCATAGGTGTAAATTTAACAACTAGTAGAAATAGTAAACTATCTCAATTCTACCCTGATCAGAACTAACAAGAGATTCTGTGACAATAAACTGCTGGTATATTAGCTTTTGTGTTCTATTGTTTTGAGCTTAGCAATAAAAAAACCAGAACATATTCTACTTTTATTCTGTCTAATATCACTGCAAGCAGAATTCAAAGTAGATGTAGCATTGTTACATGATCAGGGTGTAATGTTTTGAGTATATTCATTTATAATAATTGGTTAGTGGTTCAACCAAGACAATTCCGATCAGCGTGGTAGCATTCATTAAACACAAGTGAATTTCCCCAAAGACCTGCAGCTAGCCAACTAGCTTTAACACGAATGTAAACTGACCTCGTAACCGATTTGGTGATGATTGGATATTTCTTTAACAAACTCAAGTACTGCTGCAGTGCCCTCGTTAGAAAAGAGGAATCTCGGATAAGTACACTTTGCGTTGGCATCTTCAGTTTAGTTTACTAGTGCAACGTCTGTGCACTTGGGTCAAGAGAGCCCGGGGTTTTCTAACAAAGTGCAAATCGAACGTAGCGTGCGTGGTCTGAACGTGAGCGTCATAGAACAGCGGGCTCGGCGTAATCCTATTGGCTTACTTCTACATGACCACGCCCTAAAGTCCACGTGCTGTCTCTTAAAGAGACAAGCCAGACCAATTCTTAAAGGGACAGAACATCTTGTAATTTACTCGCCCTCATATCCTCCTGAGAACCAGAAATAAAAAGCTTTGTGAATTTAGTATTTTTTCATGCCTTTACATTGTTTTGAGTATAAGAAAGAAATGGTAAAAAATAACATTTTTGAAAAATTATATTTTATTCATAAGTTATGCTATGTCCTCTGTAGAGGACACCAGGAATAAAATGACAAGAGTAGAGATGAAAAGGCAAAAACAATGGGATTTTTTTTTAAATCACCAATCAATTTTTAGGTTTCAGGATTTTTTTATAACTAACTTTGTTTAAGGATGGTTCTCAACTATATTATAAAATATATAACAAAATGATTTGATATACCATTTTGCTTTATGCAACATGTGTGTAAAAATTCCATAAACTGATTTTCCCATTAAGCACAAGGTTATCTATACACTGTATCTAATTTGCGTATTAAAGTGCTGTTGGGACAGCGTGTTGAAAAAAGAAGTGTAATCATGGGAGTGGCCAGATTTTCATAATAATATCTAATATTTCATAAGAATATTGATATGTAATTTGTTTTCCTATTCAATTCTTTTGTCTCCCAAAATGTATAATAAACATGCTTTTAGTCCTCGTGTCCTCTACAGTGGACATGTATGAAATTATGTCCTGTTTCATAACAGAAGGTCATATTTTGATTTGAAACCCCATAACATTTATGACAAATTTATGATTTATGACAATGTGAGAATTAATCAGATTTAAATTATAATTACAAAATATTATCATATTTCCATAAGGATGTACAATTTTATCACTACATTAATGTCAGCCATTTTTAAAAACCAAGGAGAGGGAGTGGTCACGGTGAAACGTCCAATCATGTGGTGTCTCTGGAAAGCCCTGAATGTGCTCCGTACAGGACATCCAGACTTACAACTGTGACATGTGAGGTCTCAGAGAAATGCACTCAAATATAATGTCCAAACTCCATAGCTGGGTCTCAGGAGGATATTGTACCGTTCCCAACCAGCATTACTTAAAAATTAATTAATTTTTAAAAAGTTTTAGTTATGAGATTTAAAACATGTGAAGCTGTAGAGAAGGGTGAGAAAACATAGTACGGTTGCAGAATTTATTTTATTTAATTGTGAAAAAATGTTCCTCCACACAATCATACACACTACTATCATACAAATATACAATTGTGCAAATAGCATCATGTACAATCAACATATAACAAGGAATTTACAGAAGAACACTGGAAATGGATGTACAGTGAAATATGTCAGCAGAAAATCTATTTGGTAAATACTCAGGATTTAGAATATGGATTGCATTCCCATATTCTTGCTAGGTTTCCCTTCTAAGTATTCACTAAAGATATAATGACATGGGATATGTGCATTATACAACAAAAACACAGGATTCATAGGAAACCTGGGGGCTGTTTCATAAAACAAGTTTACTAGGCAAGCCAGGCTTATTTCAATTAGTCTCACTTATTTTAAACCAAAGCAACTGACAATAAGTCAGACTAACTGAAATAAACCTGGCTTATTTGGTATTTTATGAAACGGGCCCCTGATCTACATGTAGACACGCAACACCTGATGATGACACATCCCATGATTTTGCATTCTCCCTTAATTACCCTCAAAATGTGAAACAAAAACAACTTAGTGATTTTTACGTCTTACAAAAGACCTTTATATGCAAATTGCACAAATATATTATTATTAACAAGAGATAATGAATTGACAGACACATTATTAATAAAAAACTGCATGATAAACCATGTCAAATGTACTTAATACATAACATGGTATTAATAGATAATTAGCTTAATGAGCAAGCCAACAATTCTAGGTCAACTAGGTCAATAGGTCAAAAAAACAGGTTCAAATCTCTGTGTGAATCCCTATGTCAGTGGCAACAATGACTCATGACTGGCATCATTCTTATGCTCAGATAACGACTTAGTGGTTTTCTAATACAACAACCGCCATAGACGCGGAGCAAGATTAAGATGGAAACTATGATATACAGAGTCCTCATCTTCCCTCACAAAGAGCGATCAGAAACAACATGCACGTCAAACTGCATGCACAGGGATGCACAGTTGCACTCGGCCGTAGTAGCATGGCCTGGAATGGAGAGAAGCGAGGATTAACGCTCTAGCTTTGAACTAAGTATAAGTAACCCGGGTCAGCTGAGACGCTACTCTTCCACCCTCAGACCCGGCCTTTGCACTCGTTCGTAAAAGAGCAGATATGCGCTGGAGGAGAGCGCCTCCTGAAGGCTGGCTTTCCTAACCGAATCATCAGACACCCAGAGCCACTGGGAGCTAAAAGGAGACGTTCCACGGGGAGCGGCAGGACAGCGGCGGTAAGTGACAAAGTGTCCAGAGTGCATGTCGCCATGATGAACCAGGACGGCCGTCAAGCGGAAGAGATACTCTGAGCTGCAAGAGTGAGGAGTAAAAAAAAGGTTACCATATGAAGTAAATTGAAATACACTACATTCCCTGTAAAGCATGCATGGATGCATCTACCTGTAGTCATAAGTGAGGTTGAGCTGTGAGCTCAGTCCTGGTGAGTGTAGAAAGATGGAGGGAAAGGTTCCATTGGACAGTGGCTTATTGTTGTTACAGTGTTCTGAACCTGAAAAAGAAATTGAAATTTATCTTAAAACACTGGGGGGAAAAAAACTATTTTTATATATTCTAGAAATAATAATAATAATTATTATTATTATTATTATTATATTAAATAGTAAAAAGATTTCAAGAATATTACATTAGTTTTACAGATGGAGTAAGTTCATATTCACAGATGTAAACGACAGCATTCTTAGGACACTAAAATATTATTTTATTTTGTGTATATTCTATATAATAATAATAATAATATAATTTATTATTATTATTAATTAAAATAAACATTATATATTGAATATATGTTATAGAATAAAATCTAAATTCAAATAAAAAAAATCATAATAATAACAACAATAGAAACAACAATTATTATGAATAAATGACTTCTTTTTTTATTATTAAAAATTCCAAAAGTATTGCAAGGATATTTGATTGATTTTACTTTAAATGGAGCAAATCCATATTCACAGATCAAAACGACAGCATCACATAACCACTGGCGGAGAAAAAAAAGAAAGAGTTCACATCTCTTACCAACACCATTAGCAATGGTTTTGTCTTTTGGGTCTCCAGCAGCTTTGGGCTTATTTGTTCTGCTGGTGCTCTGGAGGTTCTGACCAGCAGTACAATGTTTGTATCGATCCAGAGACAAATATTCTGTAAACTGAACATGCTCTTGTCTCTTAATGGGAGTGCCCTCTTTAGACCACGTCAGTCTCTGCAGATGGATGCAGAGGCACTGAGGCAACTAAAGGTGAATATACACACACACACACACACACACACACACACACCAACAGGAGGTTATTGAAGAGTGTCAACTGTCAGTGTTTAGAAACGTTTGCTGGTCTGAATGAAAGAATAACAGTCATGTCTACCTTTCCAAGTTTCAGCTGCTTGACAAATGTTGTCCTCTGACTCTCAAGGACTTCTCCCTTTACAAGCTCTCCAGCCTGTTGCTACAAAGAGACAGAGAGAATCAGCTCAGTAAAACTCAGAAATTTCACTATAGTTACAATGGTACTATAGTAACTTGTCCTGCTAAATATACACATTATACCTTGGTACAGTTTTCACACTCCACTTCTTTGATGGTTTCCGAGGAGATGAAATGCTGGAGACACTGGTCCAAAGTAACTGGTCTGCCCTGATACACGTGAATACAAGTGACGCAAACTATATACATATCTTTGTTTGTAAGATACTAGCTGGGTAACATGACTTCAACTGGGATATTTTAATGTGTAGATTAGCCTTCTACATTAAGTACATGTGTTAGTGTATTACAGGACAAGTTAACTTACCCACTGTACTGACGGGATAGAAAGAGACAAGCTGTCGAAAGAATCATAGTGCACAGGACTCTGAAATCAAAAACAGTCAGGCTTGACAATTCCATTCTTTCAATAAAATGCTGTAGATTGAAATCATAAATATTTGTTTAAAAAAGTCTGAAAAAGATCACCTGCTGCTCACAGCGTTTACAAGCCATATAACTTGTTAACCGTCCATGAAAAGGGTGCCGAGTCCTCCATAAACTTGGAATAGGATGTAATGGGCCTGAATAAGAAAAAGACTAAATTACTAAATGCTAAAAAAAAACTGTTTAATATTTAAAGAATGACGTCTTCATTTACCTCCACTTCTGCAGCTTATGTTTTTTTCTTTTGACTCCACAGATTTCTGAAAGCATTAACAGTAGAGAATGTCTGTCTAATTATTAACTCTTTAGTTTACAAACTATCTTTTGGGTTCTAATACTGCACTAACAGTGACCGTTCATGTTTACCTCCAGTGTTTGCATGTCGAACAGGTGAGCGACTCTGGGTTGGTGTTCCCGTTCCTCCTCTAATGATGATGTGAGAACATGAAAGAGCTCATGAGCATCCTGAAGAGAACACGCAAACGTAACAGTCATTTTTATGTTAATGATTTAAAAAAAAAAAAATCCAACATTTGAGCTAAGGAATGTGAGAGTACCTCGTCCATTTTAAGTGAACTTTTCCTTTTTTAAAGGGGTCATATGATGCGATTTCAAGTTTTCCTTTCTCTTTGGAGTGTTGCAAGCGGTTCATGAGTAGATAAGATCTCTAAAGTTGCAAAGACTAAAATCTCAAACCCAAAGAGATATTCTTAATAAAAGTTAAGACTGGTCCACGCCCTCCTAAAACGGCTCGTTTAAACACGCCCCCACATGTCTACGTCACTGTGTGGGAAGATTTGCATAACGCCGCCCAAATGTTCACGCAAAGAAAGGAGTAACTTTATTGTTGCTGCCACCGCCGCCGCCATGTCGTGAAGAAGCTGTGTGTTTCGTTGTGAAAGCGAAACTACTTTGTTTGGTCTTCCAAAAGAGGACACGACTAGAAATCAGTGGTTAAGTTGTATTTACAACACTGTTCGGGAACAGTTCAACCCAAATATTCAGATGTGTGCAGCGCATTTTATGCAGGACTGTTTCCTGATCCTGGGAGAGTAGACTACAATGCCGGCTGTTCTGACTCACAGACTGTAAGTACGTTTTCATATTTAAAGAATTTGCCACTGATGATTCAAACGTGAGTTTTGAGCAGTGTAGAGTAGCGCTTGTTGTTTGTCATTTCTCCGATCACAAATGCAGACATGGTTTTATGTTTATGCGGCGCGATGCAACGCAATGTGTAAAAAGACAGTATAAGTCATTATAATCAGTAATTATGTCCCCACTGGATGCAACAAATGCCTCGTTTATAATGGGTTTTAATGTTTTTGTGTCGTCGCTCCTGGAGATGGCATCACAGTATGGTGAGGGGCGTAACATTTCCGTAACACATGCTTGATGTATTCGGCCAATCACAACGCACTGGATAGCTGGCCAATCAGAGCACACCTCGCTTTTCAGACCGATGAGCTTTATAAAAAAGAGGATAAAACAATAATGAAATGTAATGGAAAATAATGTGTTTTTTTAACCTTAAACCGCATAAACACATTTCATTACACCAAATAACATTCTTTTTAGCAACGTCATATGACCCCTTTAAAAATAAAATTCTGAAAAAAAATGCAACTGCATTGTCTTTGAGAACATCCTACCTGTTCCTCGAAGGAGCTAATGTGCCATCTGTAAAGCCTGAGAGCTTCTAAAAGGCCTCCCGCATCTAAAACATCACCTTCTCCAGGATCATGACCTGACAGGGCTGTATAAAGCAGGGAAGATGGAGAGGTCACCCTGTTAGTGTGCATTAACATTTTGCGCATTTGTGCTGTCTGTTGAATGGGAAACAACCTTTAAGTAACTGCATCAGAGATCTGGACAGATGAGTCTCTCTCTCAGTTCTCTCTGGATGGACGCTGCCTTCGCTTGTAAAGTCTTCAAGCCATCTGATGAAAGAAGGACAGGCTGCCAGGCCCTGCAGAAGTGAGTTCATAAAGCATGTGTTCCCCAGATTAAGCAGACCAGGAACCAATCCTGTGAGAGAAATTACACATTTAATAATAAAAATAATAATACATCATATTATTGCTATTATTAAGTAGACCAAGAACCATATCTGTGAGAGAAATAATACATTTAAGCAATGAATAGTCAAAACACACCTGCAATCTACAGCTTCCACTATATTTCGAATATAAGACAGCCTTGAGCCTTATTGCTTTCTAAAAAAGCCATATATATTCATTTGTGAAAAGCAAATTCATGACAAGCGATCTGTGTAAGAAGATACAGGAATGACTCTTTACAAAGTCTGTGAAGAGACGTTTCAACAGTTATTAACATCGCAAAACTAGCAAAGCTTTTTATATTTTAATTAAAATGCATGTACATTTATAATACTATATTTTGTGTTTTATTACTTGGGCAATAAATGAAACTGCTCAAAACTGCTGTGTGAATGTTTCTAATACAACGACAGAAAAAGTGACAGCAAACACATCTTTCTCTCATCTGACCAAATGCTATCAATCTCTCCAAGTTTTTTCCTCTTTGAAAAGTCAAGGAAAAGTTGTAGTTTTTTCTATTCTGGCAAATAGGAACGCAAAAGAAAAAATATTTGCTGTAACATCAAAGAAGAGATGTAAGTTCAAGGAGCAGAGGAAGTTAATGTTAAAATTATTTTTTAAAGGGGTCATATGATGCGATTTCAAGTTTTCCTTTCTCTTTGGAGTGTTACAAGCTGATTGTGCATAGATAAGATCCCTGAAGTTGCGTACTTGCTATTGACTGTTCAAATGCGGAGTTTTGCACATCTTGTGTGTGTGTGCGCGAGCGAGCGAGCGAGAGAGAGAGTGAGAGACAGGGTCACGTCACAGTGGAGTCAGCTGTCTTAACCGTGGCTTGAGTACTGCAAACACATACCAGCTTCCTCTAGGGGTCTGTCACGAGACTCTGTTCCCCTTTCGGGCTCTGTCTTTACATTTATTTTGAAAGATGAAGCTCGCGATTATGGTAAGGGGCGTTACATTTCCGACGAGTGCTTGCGGTGTTCGGCCAATCACAATGCACTGGGTCAGCTGGCCAATCAGAGCAGACTGCGCTTGTCGGAAGGAGGGGCTTTGTAGAAATCGAAGCGTTTGAGAGAGGCGGGGCATAGAGGACCTACAATAATGTACAGTATTTGAAAAATAATGTGTTTTTTGAACATTAAAGCATGTCAACATATTATGTTGCACCAAATACACAAAATAATGATCTTTAAAAAAGCATCATATGACCCCTTTAATAAAGTTGCAGTCCGTAACTTTTTTGTGTTCAAAATGTACCATGAATCAATTATCTAAACCGTGTTTTTGGCTTGTCCTGAATCACTACGGTACACCTATAATAAGTGTTTATATTCAGACTATTTTAGGCTGGTTCGGGTAGGTACCGCTGCGGAGTAGCTCAGCACCTGCGTGATTCGCCATAGACATAAACAGAGAGAAGTAGCTCCGGCTGCAATGTTCTTCCGCAAGACGCACGCAGTTCTGTTTATTAACCGCTAGAGCACCAAAAGTTACGGACTGCAGCTGAATAAAAAAATTCTGAGGTGCATGGATAAATTACTTATAATAAACACTGCTTCTATATTCCATAAAATTTTAATTTCATGGTGACTTTAAACTTTTAAAAATATTTTAAATAATAAAACAAGTCACCTTTTCTCTTTTTCTTCCTGTCTGAAATTGGCCCCCATAATACATAGACTCCAGCAGCCATGGCAGCAGCTATTCCACCAATCACACCCCAGTTTTTCATCATCTTGTTCCTGAGACAGACAGAAAAAGAGAAGTGTTTTGGTTGTGTCCAGCACAGACAGCTGGATAGAAATGAAGTGACAATGTTAAAGAGCACATTTACAGGTCATTACATGTAGACAGCTGTGTTTGCATTGATCCTGGCTCTCCAGCAAAAACCCATAAGCCATCATTACACAACACACTCTTTTAGTGGAAAAAAGCAGAGCACACAAAACCAAATCTCATGCTCTGATTCATGCTGAACACTGAACTGAAGCTTTCTGAATCATTAAATACCTCCAAGACAGATGGAGCAGATTTAATAAGCTACTGCTGGCTATCAAGCTACAAAGAGAACCGTCCGAATACATTTATTACAGCACTTGGATCTATAGCAGATCAAAGCCAAAGAGACAGACACGCTTGTTCATGCATCTGTGATGCTCAATGCAATACGAACACAATAATAAAAGCGCATGTCTGCTGGCCTCCAGCGCAACAGCTGCCTCCATCTTTACTGCGTCTATAAGAGCTACACCGATTCAACATACAGCCGTCATGTCACACGTTTTTATACAAACTCCGACCTCGCAGCGGCTCCGGTGCGTAAGAAGTCTCTGACGAGCTTGTCTGTAGCTCCCTGTTTGCACCAAGGCATATTTCACTGCGCCCAAAGGTGCGGAACTAAACATTGCGCGTTGTTGCGCGACGGACCTTCCGCGGAGCAGGACGCGCCTCGATGTCGTAAGCGGAAGTGATGAAAGGCTGAGAAAGCTGTAGCCTATTTAGAAGGTTTTTTGTTTACGGAAGTACATACATGTATTAAAGACGATGTGTAGTGTTCAACGCCTGCCTGAACTGTTTAGGAAAGCTAACCTCGTAGGTTCACAGATTAGCTGAATGATAATAGACACCCATAGGCTATTATGGTCTTAATAAGTGAAAGCGGGTCATAGACTGACAGAATTTGGATTAAAAAGCCACGAAGGCTTGAAATATTTGTGAGCTTTTAAAGGATTTATGTGTATTTCGATTTGTTTTGTGTTCCTAATGAACATATGAGTAGACCAACATTTAGAGGCATTTCACTCATCACACATTAAGTACCTTTCTTTCTTTCTTTCTTTCTTTCTTTTATTCTTCTTTCTCCACGAAGATACTTTTTCGCCTGGCTTTCTAACTTATCCGACCTTTATTTGCAAATCTGCACATTTCCATTAAAAAAAAGAAATGAAAGCTAGTAGTTTGTATTCTTTCTCTTTCTATATTTCCCATCAAAATACCAATCTTGTGTGTGTGTGTGTGTGTATGTGTATATATGTGTGTATATATATATATGTGTGTATATGTGTGTGTGTATGTGTGTATGTATATATACAGTATATATATATATATATATATATATATATATATCAGCGACAGCCCCACAACATTACTGCTCTAGAGGAGATCTGCATGGAGGAATGGTCCAAATTACCAGCAACAGTGTGTGAAAACCTTGTGAAGACTTACAGAAAACGTTTGACCTCTGTCATTGCCAACAAAGGGTATATAACAAAGTATTGAGATGAAATTTTGTTATTGACCAAATACTTATTTTCCACCATAATTTGCAAATAAATTCTTTAAAAATCCTACAATGTGATTTTCTGGATTTTTTTTTCTCGTTTTGTCTCTCATAGTTGAGGTATACCTATGATGAAAATTACAGGCCTCTCATCTTTTTAAGTGAGGGAACTTGCACAATTGGTGGCTGACTAAATACTTTTTTTCCCCACTGTATATATATATATATATGTGTGTGTGTGTGTGTGTGTAAAATTTATTAAAAAGACTTGTTATCCATCAACTCCTCAGAACTATTCTTTATTTATTATCCTTTCAGTAGCCTAAGTACCCTTTTAAATGTATTTTGTTAGATTTGTCAGTAGGCTAGTTCTTCAATATTCAGCTCTATAACCTTGATTTTAGACGGCAGATTATAGAAATCTGGATATCTGTAGAATCATCAGCTTTATCTTTGTAATAAACATGACCTCATGCACTAGTAGGCATAGTAAAAGGCATAGCTAAATCCAAACATATAATTTATTTTATTTTAAGATCTAATTTATTACAGTAATTTATAACATTTACAGACATGTTTTGTGCCATTGAACATTTAAGTATGAATATAATTGACTTTACTACTTAATATAGAAATAAAAACGTGAATGGGGAAAAAAGTCAGTGAAATTCTTGGGGAGGTGTATTGTCTTGATTCATCCTCTCCTGAGCGTATTCGGTGCTTTGTGCCTTTGCAGAGATCCAGCACTAGCGAGCGACGCGACGCGACAGGCGCAGGAATCATGGACGCTCCGCAGCGCGCCGCCCCTCTCTGAGCTCTTCTCTGTCCTCACGCCCGCGGTGCTGAAATCAGCCTCGACCCGACAGCAATGTAACGGCAATGAGACAAAGACACCGGCAGCCCGACGAACACACCGATAATGGACGATGATTTGTTTCAGTTAAGACAGCTCCCGTGAGTCTGCTTTTCATGCCGTTTCTTTCATCCGATCTGAGCCGTCATGCAAACACTATTCCGTTCATTTCAGCCCGTTTAGAGATCTGCAGCTGCTAGAATGTGATATTGATTTTCATGCAACTTATTTGAAAAAATCACTGCTTACATAATGGCTGCTGTAGATGTAGGCTGATGTAGAATAAGGATATTTTGCCAGTATGGATTGGCAAAGGTGTATGTTTGGTAAACAGATCAAGTAGATTCAACTGTTTATGAATTTTAAAGCAGTAACGTTGTGTTGCATTTAATATTTCCTCGTCCATTGATTCATTTGCGTTGTACATGACGATTCCATTGAATAACGCAATGGTTATTTGTGTCTGAGTGGGGTTTTAATGTGGTGTAGACACTCATTCTGCTCACAGATCACTTTGAATGCTGTTCAAATAGTTTCACGCAATAACACGTATTCAATTTGATTGGCCTTATAGAACATTTTCAACTCATTCAACTCACCGATTCACTTTTTATTGACCTTTTTGTTCACATTTTAAATGATTCTTAAATGATTTCTGTGGCAGGGCTTCTTAACCTAGGGTTAAATACAGCACTAAGCACTTTTCAAAATTATAAACTGAAATGTTGCTTAAGCCAGGGTATAAAGAAAATATGTTAACCCAAGGTTAAATTAAAAACCTTAAAAAAAAAATTTAAAAAAGGGAAGAAGCAGGTTTCCAGAAATTCACTTTAAAAAAGTTATTATAAAATATATAGCCTATTATAAATTGTACATAAGCCTACAAAAATATACTGTGTTGTCCTATTAAATGCAATATTATTTTCATCATAAAGTAATATTTTATTGTAAATCACATGTATGGTCATTAATACTTTATTATGCTTCTAAAAGCTGAAGCTAAAATTGAATTTATCTCTGTTAAAGCTAGTATAATTTTAAACTTTATATGGTAAGCTAAAGTTTTTATTGTAACATTTTTACTTTCTTTTTCTGTTCAATTTACAAACATTTTTACATTATAGCAAAAAGCTTAAATATCCTTTATGTTGTGTTTTGGATTTTTGGACTTTTTCCCCAGAAATGCTAGTTAATATTATCACATTGGACTAAAACTTATCAACTTTGCTCATGATTGGTATAAACCCTTACCAAAATATTTTTGTCCCTCCACCCCCACCTTGCTGCACTTGTAGTGTTCCCAAAAATTGCTTATAGAGTTCTGCTATATTGTTATCAAATCAGTCTTTTTTTAAATGTTTTACACAGGTTTTGTGAATCGTTTTGGAACTTACGGGCAGTTTTTAAAAGGCCGGTCATTTTGGACAGAGAAAACCATATTAGGTAAAGGATTTTCAGTACAGCACAAAGTATGACTGGTTTTAACAGGAATGAGGCCATTCGTGAACAGCCAAACGTCTTGGTCTTGATGACTGATCGCCCAGTGCTTCAGTGGCATCTTAACAAGACAGTGCAAGTTACAAATAAATGTAAATCTGTCCTCGTGTGTCACTGATCATCTGTGTTGCAGTAAAGGTCTTTCCACTGATGCATGTAAGAGTTTTGAATACACTGCCTGCTTTTGCTGATGTTATTCCTGTGCTGCTGATGCTTGGCAGTAGGCCCAGTCGCCATCTGACGGTGTGCAGAAATCATGATGGCAGCGCTCTTAATTGTAGCTTGTTTCAGCAAGGCTTCAGTCTTTTTCAAAATAAAACTGATGAAATCGTCACATTCTTGGCATTTTCTTAATGTCTGCAGGAGCTCGTGTCTGTTCTGTCATCGAAACCGTTGCTAATTTCAGATGGTTTCTGTTTTTTTTGAGCGCTCCCAGAGAAACATTTGTCTCTGCTGAGCGTGGAGAGGTCATCTGTTTAATTACACTGCCTGTCTGCTCATGAAAGCTTTATTGCTCATAGTGTCGCTGTGAGCACTGCAATTACAGTAATTACACCGTGGGATATCTGTGTGCTCCTCTTATTTACTGCTCCCTGATCCAATCTGTCTTCATAGCTGTGAGGATATTTGTAGAGTAAAATCCCCCCGACTAACTCTAGAGCATCTGTTGTTGTTTTCTTCAAACAGCAGTTTTCATTCAGTGAGAAGATGCCTGTCATCCGGTCGCCCCATTAAGGCTGTCGGTTGTGAGTCACAGTTTCAAACATCGCTCCACAGTCTCTTCGCACGTCGGGCTTTCGCTTGTGCTTTCATTCCAGAACCCCAGAAGAGGGATTGCACAAACAGCAAGCTCTCTCATCACCTTGGCAACAGTCTCTTATTATGTGCATTATTCTGTCCTGCACATTGCAGCTGTATTCCACATACAGATCCTTGTTCTGTCGAATGATTTATTTTGGCCTGCCACATTACAAAAAACAGCATATACTGTGTGTTGGCTGCATGGGCTGCTGCTATATTATGCATAGGCATTGCTAAAGCTGTGATTAAGCTGTCAGGCCGCAGCAGAACGATATAGAGCATATTTCATTCTGAATCCTCTCCTTATTGGCTGTTTTAGTCATTGGCTCAGAACCATTCTTATGCAGCGCTTCAGAAATGTGTCGATCTGGTTGATTCTGTACCTTATTATCTGTCTGCCTGGTTGTCTCTCTGACAGAGTGGTGAAATTTCGGCGTACAGGTGAAAGCACTCGCTCAGAGGATGAGTGTGGCGGCAGGGAAGAGGCTTTGCAGGAGGAGGGAGGACGGATGGATATGGAGTCTGTTTCCCTGGCCGATGCTGCTCCGGTGCCTCGGGAATTTGCCAACCCCACTGATGGTATGATTAGTTCATTAATATGTTTATTGTTCACCAGTTGTTACATTTTTGAAAAGGTGTTTCCTTTCTTTCTAAATGTGACCCTGGACCACAAAACCAGTCCTAATACCTAAGTAGCACAGGTATATTTGTAGGAATAGCCAACAATACATTGGTCAAAATTATTGACTTTTCTTTTATGCCAAAAATCATTAGGAATATTAAGTAAAGATTATGTTCCATGAAGATATTTTGTCAATTTCTTACCGTAAATATATCAAAACTTCATTTTTGATTAGTAATATGCATTGCTAAGACCTTTTTTGGACAACTTTAAATCTGATTTTCTCAATATTTAGATTTTTTTTGCACCCTCAGATTCCAGATTGTTTTGTCCTATCCTTACAAACCATACATCAATGGAAAGCTTATTTATTCAGCTTTCAGATGATGTATAAATCTCAATTTCTAAAAATTGACCCTTATGACTGGTTTTGTGGTCCAGGGTCACAAATGTGTTTTTCAGGAATATTTCTTGAGCCAGGGCTCAAAACCACTGTTAACCAAAACTTTTTAAAATCGATTTATTTAGTTGATTTGTAATTTTTTTTGTTATTTAAAATAAAGCTGAAATAAAATATAAATATTTGAAAAACTAAAAAAAAAAAAAAAACTTGGTCACACTTTATTTTAAGGTCCGATTCTGGCTATTAATTAACTATTAACTACGACTTTTAACGTCAATAAACTCCTAATTACTGTTTAAGTGTAGGTGTTGGGTAGGATTAGGGATGTAGAATATGGTCATACAGAATATGTACTTTAGAAGTGCTAATAAATAGCCAATACACTATAATATGCATGCAAACAAGCAATTAATAGTGAGAATTGGTCACTATACTGAAGTGCCACCAAACACTTAAATGAAAATTAGAAATGTTGCCCTGGCAAATAACAGAAATAAAATTTACTGAAGAAAAAAAGTTTAAACTGAAGTAAATTACTAACACTAAAACCGAAATAAAAATAAATTCAGCAGAAATACATTTAAAAACTAAACTAAAACATGCACATTAAAAAATGAACGAAGCTTAAACTAAAATTAAAATGAAAAAAAAGAGCTAATGCAAGGTGTTAATAAATACTGTAATCGTATATAAATTATACTAAAATAACACTTTTGAGCACGTTAAATGCTTCCAAAATACAGGATAGATGATTGCATTATCAGACAGCTCACTAAGCATCTTTAAGGCAGAACTGTTCTCCATATGTTGCTCTTTTAACAGATACCTTCATGGTTGAGGATGCAGTGGAAGCCATTGGCTTTGGAACGTTCCAGTGGAAACTGTCCATCCTGACTGGACTTTCCTGGGTAACAAAACTTAAACGAAATCCAGAGAGGGAATAATTGTCGTACCCTCACATCCCTGTATAATTACAATCAGTTTGGCTTTGAAATGAAACATTTTATTATTTTATAAGCTGTAAATGTTAAAAGTTGCTATATTTGTTTCCATATTTCTGATGGTTGTATTTGTGTGCAGATGGCCGACGCCATGGAGATGATGATTCTCAGTATATTGGCCCCTCAACTGCACTGTGAGTGGGCACTGCCCAGCTGGGAGGTGGCACTGCTAACTTCGGTACTGTACACTACTCCTTGAGTCAATAATGACTCCCCTCATGCTTTTTTAGACAGGGTTGGCAGTAGAAATGTTCTTGTTCCGTTAAGCTTTGCATCGTTCATAAATGAGTTTGCCTGAATAACCGCACTGATGCATATGTAATGAGTCTCTTACCTTCTCTGAAACAGGCAGTATTTATTGGAATGATGATCAGTTCGTCATTATGGGGAAACATATCTGATAGATATGGGAGAAAAACAGTGAGTATGTTTATAAATTAAAGAGCAGTATGTGCATGTCCAACGGCACAAATGTTGTTTCTAATCTCACTGTGCACCAGCGGGGACTGATTCGAGCTGTGTGTGTGTGTGTGTGTGTGTGTGTGTTTGTGGTAGGGTTTGATCTTGTTCCGTTAAGCTTTGCATCGTTCATAAATTAGTTTGCCTGAATAACCGCACTGATGCATATGTAATGAGTCTCTTACCTTCTCTGAAACAGGCAGTATTTATTGGAATGATGATCAGTTCTTCATTATGGGGAAACATATCTGATAGATATGGGAGAAAAACAGTGAGTATGTTTATAAATTAAAGAGCAGTATGTGCATATCCAACGGCACAAATGTTGTTTCTAATCTCACTGTGCACCAGCGGGGACTGATTCGAGCTGTGTGTGTGTGTGTGTGTGTGTGTGTGTGTGTGTGTGTTTGTGGTAGGGTTTGAAGATGAGTGTATTATGGACCCTGTTTTACAGCCTCCTCAGTGCGTTTGCACCTATATACGGATGGATCCTGTTCCTCAGAGCTCTGGTGGGCTTCGGCATTGGAGGGGCTCCACAATCGTAAGTGTGACTCGGATCTGAATGCACACACAACCGTTTAGAAGTTTGGCGTCGTGCGGATTTTTAAACGTTTTAAAAAAACTAAATAAAGTCTTATTCTCATCAAGGATGCATTTGGTCAGAAATACTGTAATATTGTGAAATATTTCAATTGAAAATCAATTTGAATAGATTTTAATATTTAATTTAGTCCTGTGATGAATTTTTTTTAATGCATCCATGTTAAATAAAAGTAAAAATTAAATAAAAAAGAAAGTCATTCTGCTCTGACCCCAAACTTTTGAATGGTAGCGTACAAACATTTAATGAATTATGGTAAGGAGATTTGCAAGTTCTTTTAATCTATAAATTCTCCATTACAGTTTACCATTTTATATAAGAATATCATGAAATAATTAGAGACTTACAGCAAGCTTTTGATCTCTCCTATAAGAGTAACATTGTATGCTGAGTTTCTCCCCATGCGGTCCAGAGCCACTTGCATTCTGTTGATAGAGGTAATATTCTATTCTATTCTATTCTTTAAATACAGGTATCATCATAGCTTGAATGATTAACTATAATTCAGTGTGTTATAGGCAATCTGCATTGGTGTGTGAACGTTTTCATACAGACATTATGATTCATTATTATGTTTGTACTTGAAATGATCCTAAATTTATGAAAAAAAATAGAACCAACTTAAACCACATGTTTATGTTTTTGTCTGTAGAAAACTATTAGATAATATTATTTATACTACTTATATTGTTATTCTTTTGAATTTCTATTCATCAAAGAATCCTAAAAAATGGTTTCTGCAAAAATATTAAGCAGTGCAACCATTTTCAGCATTGATAATACTAAATGTTTCACTGAAAACTGGAGTAATGGCTGCTAAATTCAGATGTGCCATGACAGGAATAAATTATATATATATATATATAATATGTTAAAATAGAAAGCAGTTATTTTTCATTTTAATAATATTTCACAGTATTACTGTATTTATTCTCTCTCTCTCTCTTATACATATTTTGTCATTTTATCTCTCTTTTTTTTGGGTACAATTATTATTTTTTGTGTTCAGGAGGACAGGGGGAAAATTCAAGATCTTTTCTCTCCACATTTCCGTTGGACCACTGTTCTGCTCTGGTTCATATGGTAAGATGGTTCTCCAAAGTTCTATTAATTATTGTGTGAACACTCATTCAATCACATTATGTACATGTATACTACTAAAGCTTTAAAGGACTTTTTTTGTTCCCTGAGATTTTTGTCACATCTCACTCTTTTTGTTTCGCAATTTCACTCAGATATTCCACAAAGTTTTGTGTTCTTGCTGCTTTCGTTCATATTCTGTTTATTGTGTGCTTTCTGATGCAGGTTCTCTAATGCATTCTCATATTATGGTGTGGTTTTGCTGACCACTGAGCTTTTCCAGGAGGGAGGCGCCTGTGGTAGTGAGTGAAAGCTTTTGTGTGTTTAAAAAACAGACCGGAGCATAGTGCGAGAATGTAAGGACTATGTATAGAATAGAATACCACAATTATTCAATACTGTACAGTATAACCTGTATACTGCCTAATGTTATTTTTTTTAAATAGTATGTAAACCAGTGTGTTTAATATAATTTCAAACTATAGAGTGGTAGAATGCTAACGATACACAACCAATGGATTCTGTGTGTATATATTGGTCGTGTCTCCCTCTAGGGGCGAAGGGCAGTAAAAGGGAGCCAAGTTGCAGTTTGGAGTGCAAATATCTGAATTCAGATGATTACAAAGACCTTCTGTGGACCACACTTTCTGAGTTTCCTGGTATATATTTGAATTATAATGCCATTAAAGGAATAGCTCATTCAAAAATGAAAATGCACTCACTCTAAGGCCATTCTGAACCCTGAATTTTGAATTATTCAGACACCAGATATCATTTTTTATATCTTTTTACTAGTGGGTGCAGGACACTATAGTTCATTTATGTAAGGGAGGATAGCAAAATAAAGTAAACTGTGACATATTATACCCAAAAATTGGACTACCAGTAAATTTTATAAAAATTAGACACTTTGACCTTACCATGTTTTGCTTTAATTGCTAATGTGACCTTTTTCACCACAGACTGAACAAAATTAAGCATTGCTTGGTAATTGGTTGACCTAAATCGGTATTATCTAATTGTGTACTGACAGCTATTCAACCTAATCCATTACATATACCTTCACTGTAAAAACAATTCCGTAAAATTTACGATAAAGAAACGGCAGCTGTGGTTGCCAGAATTTTACGGAAAAAAAATACGGTAGCAACGTTTTAGGTTTTACAGTTTTAACTTAAATTTACAGTCAAATTCCATAATTTCATTAATTGATATAATGTTAATATACCAACCTATTGAAGTACTGAAATCTGTTCTGTACCTTTGTAATACACCGATGACCTCCAAATGCAGGAGGTGATGAGAAAGTCACACAATGAACCAAAGCCCATCACAAGCAGCTTTTAGATAATAACATATATAGAAGGTGCACAGTGTCATTTTATCTGACATTATCAAGATGAATTTGTTCTGACACAGTTTAACTGTGTTCTTGTCGTATTTTATTACCATTTTACTATTCGCTAACTATAGCGAATAAAATGTGATACTGTGAGGAACGTTGAATGTGTCTGAATACATTTTGGTTTGATTGTAAATTAAGCATTACATCACTTGCTCACCAATGGATCCTCTGCAGTGAATGCACCAAAACATTCCAAAACAATTCTAACCAAATGTCAGTGGATTTTGAGATAGACTAGAGGGGATTATTGTGATGTTTTTATCAGCTGTTTGGACTCTCATTCTGACGGCACCCATTCACTGCAGAGGATCCGTTGGTGAGCTAAATGCTAAATCTCTTCAAATCTGTTCCAATGAAGAAACAAACTCATCTACATTTTGACGTTTCAGCAAATGTTAATTTTCTGAGTGAACTATTCCTTTAACATCTAATTTTTAAATAAGTTATGGCAGGCATAAAGAGAATGTGGCAAACGTATTGATTGATGCATCACAGGCCTGCTGGTGACCCTGTGGGCGATTGATCGATTAGGGAGGAGGATAACTATGGCATTGTGTTTCTTTGTCTTCTCCCTCTGCATTGTGCCACTCTACGGCTGTGTGGGAAGGTCAGAAGCACTTCTATTACTGTAATTTTTATAGTGCATTCAAGCCTGTGGTAATCACATTTGTGAACATACTGTGATTAACTACATTGCCTATATTGCAGGACGTCTTTGACCGTATTTATATTCATTGCGAGGGCTTTTATCGCTGGAGGTTTCCAGGCTGCATATGTGTACACCCCTGAGGTGAGAACTCTTTTCCAATTCATTTCAGTTGATATAGAATTATTTTGTGGAAGAACTGAGGCTCAAAGGGAAGCTCTATCCTTCTTTGCCCTGTCAAAGGAATATGTAATTGAACATTTGACACTCTTGGCAGATAAACTGTATGGAGAGTAAAGCCTGTAGACTGTCAGTGTAGTGTTAAATGTTTTGCTCAAGGCAACAGCTGTGCTGGAGAAGGATTTTGACCTTGGGAAGCGTCCAGGTCCTGGCTCACTCCCACCACTTGGCAGCCATTGCAACAGCTCACCTGACTACTTTTCATGAACCACTGGAGTTCATCTCCAGAAACAGGACTGAAGGGTTGAATATTACATAGAGTGTCTGTAGGTTGCTTAAGAACGTAGTTACTGACTGTATATTACCTAAAAGAGCGAAGCAGTTTACCTAACTACATTAATCTCTGTCAGTGATATTTAACTGATTTTGAAAGTGTTTACAGCATAACAGCATGCTGAAGAAACTTTAGTGAAGTAATAGGTCCATGTAGGTCATATAGGTCAATTCACTAACCACCCTGTGGTTAAGTAACAGTTCAATGTTCACACTGAGAAGATCTTTGTTGTAACTCACTCAGTATTTATTTTGCAGGTGTATCCCACAGCCACGAGAGCACTGGGTTTGGGCACCAGTAGTGGGATGGCTCGGGTTGGAGCTCTCATCACACCATTTGTGGCACAGGTGTGGAAATAACAAATAAAAGACATAAAATAAAGAATAATGTAAATACCCAATCAAAAATTAACTAAAAACCAACAAATATTATAATAAAGCAATAAGCCCCAAGAAGCCGTGGTTTTCAGTGAATTTATAACAGCTAAGGGGTGTTGTTAGGCACGATGCGAAGCGGAAAACCCCTTTAGCTGTTATAAATTCACTGTAAACCATGGCTTCACGGGGCTTATTGCTTTTATAAAACGGTTATTCCATATACGTAGTAAGGTTTCACAAAATAAAACAGAGCAAATAAAGTGTAAATACAGTATATTAGTAAAAACATTATTCTTCCGCCAAACAATGTAGTTCTTCAGAAACGGTTGTGGTTCAAAGCGGTTGCAGAGCAACACACAAACGTAAACAAAGGTGTGTGTTTGTAGAGTAATTTACAACAGCTTCGAACTTGGCTCAACCAATCAGAATCAAGGACCGGAACTATGTTTTATAACAAATATTTTTTAGATATTATAAATGCTGGAGATCCAATATACTTGCTATTTTTTATTTACTTTTTATATTTACTTTTAAGAGTTAAAACCCTTCCTGTATTCCAGTGGCGTTGAATCTGTGGCAGTTTGGGCAAATGATCTGATGTGCTGAGCTCTGGTGCTCATGTGGGCTGCATGATTTTGAGTCCAGCTTGCAAAAAAACTCACTCTGCGAACAACAATTCAAAGAGTTACCAGAAATATGACTAAAAAAGAGAAACGAAAAAGATAAGGGGGCTCATTCATTAACTGCATGTGTGTAAATGTTTTCAGAAATGATGATTCATTAATAAGTTTGTACTTAAAATTATTTTACATTTATGACAAAAAAACTCAAAGCAAGGTTTGTGTTCACATTTTTCTATACACTAAACTATTACACACTATTATTTATACTATATTCTTTTGAATCCTGAAAAATGTGTTGTGGTTTATGCAAAAACAATAAGCGGCACAACCATTTTCAGCAGTAATAATAAGAAGAAATGTTTCTTGAGCATGAAATCAGCATATTAGAATGATTTCTGAAGGATCATAGGACGCTGTTTGCTGGCTGCTATCGCTTCCTGTGCCCTGCCCATAGAGACCACAGGACGAGGCCTCCAGGAGTCCAGTCACAGAGAGTGGGGTCAGGAGATGATGGGACGGGCCTCAGACCACAGTCCTGGAGGGATTCCACATTCCAGCTCTGGATCACAGGACTAAGAAACACCACAGATAGACTTTGTAGAAGAAATTTGGAATCTTTTCTGTAAAAAAAAAACAAACAAGCAATGTATGTCCACAAAGGAATAGCATTTTAAGAACTCTTGGTTTTGATTTAAATCCATCTATTAATGATACATTCCTCCACCAAAGGTTGCAGGGTTTCTTTTTATGAACCTCCAAACCAGAGAAATGGAGTGGAATAGATTCCCATCACATAATACTCCCCTTTTGCCCAAAGGAACAGAAAATGGGTCGAAAATCGATCTAAAACATGACAAATTGCATTATAACACATGAAATCACTCTCACATGTTCAGAGGATCTGAGCAGCATTTGAACAACAAAAGATTTGAACCTGAAGTCATGAAGTTGAAAGATAGCATAAGAGAATATACGATTGTGACAGGTTTAGTACGACAGCAAGTAGAAAGAGGATTTGTTAAATTTTTTTAAGAGGGCTTTACACTCCAGCATTCCTTTGGCAAAGTCATGAGAACTTTTATCTCTTCATTGAAGCAGACAGGATGCTGCTATTAATCAGACAATGCACCAGTTTGGGGTCTGCCATCTTGCTTTTTTTCAACCATTTACCATCCATTCACAGTTTTAGACTTTCTCTGACACCAGTGATGTATCTAGTGGACACCAAAGTCTTCATTTCGCACCGCTCAGCACTTGAGAGCACCTCTCTTCATCCTTTCACCAGCTGCCAACTGCAATCACTCATGTAAAGTGTATAAACTCCAGTTGATCCCTTATAATCAGGCATATCAAAGGTTATTGGATTCTTACTATCTTAAAATACAGCTCAATAACAATAAAACAATAGCAAGTGGCTTTCATCAGAGCAGGTCTGTAGGTCACATGTATTTTATGATTGTCTATTCTAGCACATCAGGCTCCAAGCGCATTTTTCAAACAACGGCTTGCATCGAAACACACAACATTTAGCAACAATCTTTGTTTATTCAGCTCGACTGCTCAATGCTATATTCGGTTATTTGTATTTCTGCCTTTTCGACTGTACAGTGGGTATGTGTGTGGCATGATGGGAAGTGTGCAGCTGTTCCTGTGAGTGCAGAGAGTTGCCTGCCTTTTGTGTTTTGTGTCTGTGCGCACAGATCTCTTGCCACTGCACTGGATGTACATGTATGATAACAATAAATTATGCTTCAAGAAAAAAAAAAGTGAGTATATGTATCTTTATTATAGATTAGTGCAGAGAAATGTAGAGAAATGTATGAAATTCTGAAGATTCATTATCTCTTGGGGGAATCAGTGTGATAATTGTTATTAGATTAGTGAGAATAAGAATTGATACTGTAGATAACATGTCTAAACATTTGTCCAGAGGCATAGATCTATTAGAGACGTGATTTAGAGTGTGCTAGCAGGCCTTTCTGCTCCAGGATCTGTCCAAAGAGACGAGCAGCTTCCTCAGCACATCCACGATGGATGGTCAGTCCAAAACCACCATGTCCGTAGTTATGAATGACCTGAGGTGAAAGAAAACGAAAACATAGTGTGCGAACAGAGAATCGTGAATCTGCGGAGCCCTAAAGGGACATCATGATGGAAAAAATATGAGATGGAAGGAAAAATGAAAAAATCATTTACTTTGAACACTTTAAACTTTGCATATTTTTCCAATAACATGTCCATTTAGGGGCTCTTTATTAATCATATATTATCTTGGATATTTATGTTGTAAAATGGCATCAGATCTTAAGTGTAATGGTCATTCTATGAGCTCACCTCAAACGAGGTTGGTTCAGATCGTATGGTCTCTCTCTCCAGTCTAACTTTGCTGCGTGCGGGCCTGAGACCAGTCCAGTCCTCTACTATCCGTGCACGCTAGAGAAAAAAAACGGCATCCAATCCATTCATGCCACTCAAACAAACACTAATTTAGCAAGGCTAAAATGGCTGAAACTACCTGTAGACTGGGCTCAAGCTTGCAGGCGGCTTCCCAGATTCCTTTATGGTCAACAGAACTGTTCTGCAGATTCCAGTTTCCTACTTGGAAAACTCCACCCACAGTGACTAAACGACTCCTGCAGAGACAAAATTACCTGAGGTAGCGCTAAGACAAGACTACACTGCACTTCATTACAAACATAAGTGAAAAATTAGCAACAATGCTTGTTATTACGTGTTATTTTAGTATTACATACCATCCCAGTATTTATTAATATTTTCATTTAGCTTTTATTTTATATTTTCAGTTTTCATTTTATTTTAAGTATAATTTTTATCAATATTGTTGTGCCTTTGTCATTTGTTTTAGTTTTTTATATATTTACATTTAGCTTCAATTTCTTTTTTATTTTAGCTTTAGTCATTTTAGCACATATGATGCGAAGTTTTCCTTTCTCTTTGGAGTGTTACAAGCTGTTCGTGAATAGATAAGATCCCTAAAGTTGCAAAGACTAAAGTCTCAAACCCAAAGAGATATTCTTTATAAAAGTTAAGACTTGTCCACGCCCTCCTAAAACGCCTCGTTTAAACACGCCCCCACATGTCTACATCACAATGTGGGAAGATTTACATAACACCGTCCAAATGTTCACGCAAAGAAAGAAGGCGTAACTTTGATTCTTGCTGTAGTATTGTTGCCACCGCTGCCATGTCATGAAGAGCCGTGTGTTTCGTTGCAAAAGCGAAACTACTTTGTTTGGTCTTCCAAAAGAGGACACAACTAGAAATCAGTGGTTAAGTTGTATTTACAACACTGTTCCAGAACACTTCAACCCAAATATTCAGATGTGTGCAGCACATTTTATGGAGGACTGTTTCCTGATCCTGGGAGAGTAGACTACAATGCCGGCTGTTCTGACTCACAGTCTGTAAGTACGTTTTCATATTTAAAGAATTTGTCACTGATGATTCAAACGCGAGTTTTGAGCAGTGTAGAGTAGCGCTTGTTTGTCATTTATCCGATCACAAATGCAGACATGGTTTTATGTTTACGCGGCGCGATACAAAGCAATGCATAAAAAGACAGTATAAGTCATTATAATCCGTAATTATGTCTCCACTGGATGCAACAAATGCCTCGTTTATAATGGGTTTTACTAGTTTTGCCTTGTCACTCCGGGACAGGGCATCACAGTATGGTAAAGGGCGTAACATTTCCGTCACACGCTTGAGGTATTCGGCCAATCACAATGCACTGGATAGTTAGCCAATCAGAGCACACCTCGCTTTTCAGACCGATGAGCTTTGTAAAAATCGACGCGTTTCAGAAAGGCGGGGCATAGAGGAGGAACAATAATGTACAGTATGTGGAAAATAATGTGTTTTTTGAACCTTAAACCAAATACACAAAATAATGTTCTTTTTAGCAACGTCATATGACCCTGGACGTATTCCAGATTGAAAATGCAACGTTTTAAATATTTTTTTGATCTATTATTTACATTTTATTTTATTTCAGTTTTCTTTAGATTACTGTAAATGCAGAAAAGTGTCATCATGAAGAGGCTCACCCAGGAATGATGTACGGTGAGTTATAGACTCCTGATGAGGAATCATGTGTGAGGATCCAGTGTTTCAACCAGGGAGCGTCTACCTGTTGATATAAAAAACAAGAGATCAGAGCAGTTCCATGTAAATGCTTTATGTCTGATTGACTTTTATCCACTAAACCTCACCTTAATGATCTGTCCTCTGGCTGGCTGGAGCTCAGGATCAGGCTGGAGGTCTCCTGATCGGACACCGGAGCAGTTGATGATAACATCAGCACCACTATCTGCCAACTGAAGCCCATTTTTGAGGTCATTACAAATTACAAATTTTATGATTACTTTTTTACAGTATATATGAGGCAAGCATAATCGGAACATTAAATTAATTAAATTAGAGTTAGAGAATCTGCTTATAATATGTTATGTTAAAACTAGTGTAAGGTAATCTTACTGATTTTAACAATCAAGTTAACATATACACTACCATTCAAAAGTTTGGGGTAGCTAAGATATTTTAATGTTTAAATCTCTTATGCTGAATAAAATACAATAAAAGCAGTAATATTGTGAAATATTATTACAATATTATTACAAAAGAACTGTTTTATATATTTTAACAACTATTTAAATACATGTTAAAATGTATTTATTTCTGTGATGTCAAAGTTAATTTTCAGCAGACATTACTCCAGTCTTCAGTGTCACATGATCCTTCAGAAATCATTCTAATATGCGATTTGTCATTTCTACATATATATTATCAATGATGAAAACAGTTGTGCTGCTTAATATTTTTGTGGGAATGATGATACTTTTTTTCAAGAGTCTTTGATGAATAGAAAGTTGTAAAGATCAGTCTTTATTTGAAATGGAATTATTTTGTTACATTGTAAATGTCTCAACTGTCACACTTAATACTGATCTTTTAATTTAAAAAAGATGAATGGAAATGAAAAAGCAATTGCTCAGACCTCTTTAAATGAACCAATCTTCCTCTGATAAAACTTGACCTCTCTTTGTCTTAACCTACAGAAAACACAGAAATGTGACCAAGGTGTCAAAGATAGTGTTAATCATTGTTAGACCAGAAAAGAGTAACTGATTCACAACTGATTTTACATGACTATATACATGCATAAGTTATTCTGATGCATATACAGTAAAACAGAAGAATACAAATATTCATGTAAAAATTGGAGACACACCTATATGCAAGATGTCTAGACACATGATATACATGTAATATACAAGTCTAGAAATCTAAAAGATTACTTATTCATTTTAAGTCAAAATGCTTATTTGTTTTATATATATTTTTAAAATGTAACAATTTCTAAGCTTATATTACAGTTTGAATTGTGGACTCTTGAGCTCCACTGTATATTCTATTTCATTCCCATTCTAATGTTGGTTACTGATTAGATAACAGGAATCTCTCACCAGTCCATAAGCCAGGGCAGGTATGTCTTTCCTTCAATCATGAGAGCGGTGTTAAACCAACCAAAACTGAAAAGATAGAAGGAAAATGGAAAAGTGACATATGCAATTTTACAAAAATAAATACTACAACCATCAAAGGGTAAAACAACAAAACAAGTAAGCGTCATCAAATTATAGAAATAGCTTGTGATGAGATGCAGTTGATAAGTACCTGTATCCCGGGAACATGTCTAGTTCACGTTTAGTCAGCTGGCGAAAACCCAACACCGCATCTTTAAATGAGGGGTCCTGTTTGAGGGGAGCAGAGAGATTGAGTCATTTTCACTATTATCTCTTGGGTCAGTGAGATGGGTCGGTTACAGTATGTCCCGTGTGTCAGAACTTGCGGTTTATTATATGCCATTCTGTAGATAATGACATTATATGCAATGGAAAGATAATGTTCTTACTGGCAGGGGTTCAGTGCACAGATTGTAGCCAGACTGAAGGAAGATTCCCATTTTCACTGAATCTGGCGAGGTGAGGCAACTTTGTAGATAGTCAAACGTCTCTTTGTTCCATTTACTGAGAAAAGTAAATAAAACATTTTACTTGCTGCTATAGACTATACAGCATCTTGGGTTCTTCAGGTTAACTGAGAAACATGAGGATGTGCTTCAACCGATTCACTGACACTTTTACTGACACTGAAAGCTCACGTTTCATGCACATTGCCCTTGTCGTAGAGATACGGCTGCCAGAGTCCAGCTGCCCCGTCGCTGGTGGTGAGTGGAGTGAAGACATCAGCATACACCTCTATGGTGAGGGGGCTGATCCTGCTGTGAAAGTGCTGGTAGATGCTCTGAGCGGTGGAGAGGCCGATGACCCCCGCTCCAATGATGCACACCCTCATGTCTGCTAACTAAATGCAAGTATAAATATGAATGCATGGTTTTATTACATACAGGTGCATCTCAATAAATTAGAATGTCGTGGAAAAGTTCATTTATTTCAGTAATTCAACTCAAATTGTGAAACTCGTGTATTAAATAAATTCAATGCACACAGACTGAAGTAGTTTAAGTCTTTGGTTCTTTTAATTGTGATGATTTTGGCTCACATTTAACAAAAACCCACCAATTCACTATCTCAACAAATGAGAATATGGTGACATGCCAATCAGCTAATCAACTCAAAACACCTACAAAGGTTTCCTGAGCCTTCAAAATGGCCTCTCAGTTTGGTTCACTAGGCTACACAATAATGGGGAAGACTGCTGATCTGACAGTTGTCCACAAGACAATCATTGACACCCTTCACAAGGAGGGTAAGCCACAAACATTAATTGCCAAAGAAGCTGGCTGTTCACAGAGTGCTGTATCCAAGCATGTTAACAAAAAGTTGAGTGGAAGGAAAAAGTGTGGAAGAAAAAGATGCACAACCAACCGAGAGAACCGCAGCCTTATGAGGATTGTCAAGCAAAATCGATTCAAGAATTTGAGTGAACTTCACAAGGAATGGACTGAGGCTGGGGTCAAGGCATCAAGAGCCACCACACACAGACGTGTCAAGGAATTTGGCTACAGTTGTCGTATTCCTCTTGTTAAGCCACTCCTGAACCACAGACAACGTCAGAGGCGTCTTACCTGGGCTAAGGAGAAGAAGAACTGGACTGTTGCCCAGTGGTCCAAAGTCCTCTTTTCAGATGAGAGCAAGTTTTGTATTTCATTTGGAAACCAAGGTCCTAGAGTCTGGAGGAAGGGTGGAGAAGCTCATAGCCCAAGTTGCTTGAAGTCCAATGTTAAGTTTCCACAGTCTGTGATGATTTGGGGTGCAATGTCATCTGCTGGTGTTGGTCCATTGTGTTTTTTGAAAACCAAAGTCACTGCACCCGTTTACCAAGAAATTTTGGAGCACTTCATGCTTCCTTCTGCTGACCAGCTTTTTGAAGATGCTGATTTCATTTTCCAGCAGGATTTGGCACCTGCCCACACTGCCAAAAGCACCAAAAGTTGGTTAAATGACCATGGTGTTGGTGTGCTTGACTGGCCAGCAAACTCACCAGACCTGAACCCCATAGAGAATCTATGGGGTATTGTCAAGAGGAAAATGAGAAACAAGAGACCAAAAAATGCAGATGAGCTGAAGGCCACTGTCAAAGAAACCTGGGCTTCCATACCACCTCAGCAGTGCCACAAACTGATCACCTCCATGCCACGCCGAATTGAGGCAGTAATTAAAGCAAAAGGAGCCCCTACCAAGTATTGAGTACATGTACAGTAAATGAACATACTTTCCAGAAGGCCAACAATTCACTAAAAATGTTTTTTTATTGGTCTTATGAAGTATTCTAATTTGTTGAGATAGTGAATTGGTGGGTTTTTGTTAAATGTGAGCCAAAATCATCACAATTAAAAGAACCAAAGACTTAAACTACTTCAGTCTGTGTACATTGAATTTATTTAATACACGACTTTCACAATTTGAGTTGAATTACTGAAATAAACAAACTTTTCCAC